GTATTCCTGTCGAAGAGGGGCAGTCAAGTCGTGCACCGGGGACTTGAAGAAGGGAATCTTACCGACAACCTGTGGTGCCTTTAACTCCCAAGGCGTGCCAGTCATGGCATCGACCGCGTCTGCTCCTCCAACTCCGATTGCAAGCATCCCAAGTCCTCCGGCATTGGGCGTATGCGAATCTGTTACGCGACGTTTATATCAGCCTCACTAGTGGATGGTCGTCCAGCTCACCGGTTCCCAACCTATATATTGGGGTCAATAACGAGTAAGGGATAGATAGAACAGAATGTACGCACATAAGCATTCCCGGAGCTGCATAATTTTCCAGAACGATTTGATGAATGATTCCGGATCCCGGGCGCCAAAATTCGATCCCATACTTCCGGGCAGCACTTTCGAGGAAATCAAAGACTTCTTTGTTGTTTTCTATCGAATGCTATTGCGGAATCAGATGTGAAGAAAATGACGTCGTCATGAAACATTACCTGCAAATCTGTTTGTGCACCTTGCGAGGCTTGGATAAGATGGTCACAATGTATACTGGTGGGTACTGCACATCGTGCGAGTCCGGCGCTCATGAATTGCAGACTGACAGGGAATTGAGAAAAAGCCAAGGGTACTGAGGTTCAATCTTACAGTGCCATCCTACCAAATATCAGTTAAGCTTTCGGTTCTCGAGCAGAATTGCAGGACTTACTGAGCGCTAGCGTCTTGCATTGCAACTCTCTCCGGATGTAACTGCAGATACGCCTCTCCTCTCACTCTTCCGCCTGCCCCTTGCAGTCCATTAACGGGGTCTGCCAGATGACTGTATAGAATCTTCTCCGCGAGGGTCAGGGGCCTCTTGAGGGAATTCCGAACATGTTCGAGGTTTTGGATGAGCGTAGGGTACGGGGGAGTGATTGAAGTGCAATCTTTTTCCGCAAGGGTCGAGTGTGTTGCAAACGACCTGCGTCCAAGAATGTGGGCAACGCGCACACGCGCTGCCGGACGCATTGAGAAAGAAGAGACTGTTGGGTAGTTGAAGGACCTGGCTTGATGCTGAGATTTATCAAAAACTGGATTGGGCAACGTCAAAAAAAATCCCCGGTCACGGTCCGGCTTCCGGCCACCTCCCCACGGGTATGGAATTGTAGTCAGCTTTGAACTGAGTTCACTTTCCCTCAACCAGATCCTTCGACGTGTAACAATCGTCAAGTAGAATCATGGGTGTAAGTCTCTTCTCGGTCTGATTTCCAGGTGTATGGATCTTATTATATCGTCTCGTAGTGGGAAATCCGTATGTCCAACTCTCGTAGAGTTGCCTACTTTTACAATACCGACAATCAACAATCGACTTGGGACCCCCCGTCCGAGCTTACTCAAGATCAGATCAAAGCCCTTCCTGGCGCAGAATTGCTGGAAAGCTCCGGAAAACCTGCCCAAGTCAGAGCCAGTCATTTGTTAGTGAAGCACAGTGGGAGTCGGCGTCCAAGCAGTTGGAAAGAGGTACGTCTTCAGTCGTCGTCCCTTGCTCATTGTCATCTCATTTGACTCTCTCCTAGCAAAATATCACGCGATCGAGGGACGAAGCCATCTCTATTCTCAAAGGCTATCAAGCTGAAATCGCTGGATCGTCAGAGAAGTTTGCCGAACTCGCACAGGTCCATTCCGACTGCTCCTCTCATGAGAAAGGAGGGGATCTTGGCTGGTTTGGGAAAGGCCAGATGCAGAAGGCATTTGAAGACGCTGCGTTCGGGCTCGATATTGGTGAAATGAGCGATGTCATCATTTCCGATAGCGGTGTACACCTGGTGCTGAGGACGGGCTGAAGACTGAGCTTTACATGGATCACCAAAGCAAAGCGGAAATGTATATCAAAAGCAATTATCGGCCACTGTACCGACTGTATAACTAAATCGATTGGAATTTGTGGTTGTAACAGAGGAGTGAAAGTCGCCACGAGGAAGGCTCAGGAAGCACTATACCCGCGCCGCGCCTGATTCGAAGTTTCAATTTGGAGGTTCGATTCGTCGTGATCGCGGCGCATCGGTCTTGTCTCAGCCCACCCTATAAAGCATTCGACGGAGGCAGTAAGGGGTCTTTACCTCTCTCATTCGTCCCACATCTTCGCCAGAATGGCTCCCTTTAAATTTCTGTACGTCGATATATTTCTTTCCTCGATTCCCGGTCTCATGAATCATTCTAGCTGTACACTCAAAGTCGTCATGAATGCCATTTTTGACGAGTTGTCCGTCACAGATCTTGTTCATTTCGCTCAGACTTGCAAGTCCGCCAAAGCAGAGACCGAACGCTACTACCAATCCGGCTTCTCAATCAACAGACTCCTTCTTCCCTACTTCACGTACAACGAAATTCAAGATTTCCGTATGGTGCAGGCTTACACAGGTGCCCTGATTTCAGGCTCGACTGCCCTCCAGTACTTTGAACGCATTCGCTACGAGGACTCCGACCTGGATCTGTACGTCGAAGATCGACATGCGAAAGTACTAGCAGACTTCCTAGAGTCTGTGGGATATACTTTCAAGCCAAAGCCGAGCCAGCGCCAAGACCTGACCCTTACTAGCGCACTTGAAGGTACCGACGACGAAAACGAGTGCAAGTACGGTCCAGGGCTCAAGGGCATACGAGGGATTTTCAGTCTCACCAAAGGAAAACGCAACATCCAGATCATCACCGCGAAGGATTCAACGATGGAGGTCATTTTCAATTTCCACTGCAGTGAGTTTCATCTCGATTACAATCATGCTCGTCCGAACCCTTCTGACTTTGGGATCGTTGCAGCGGTAGTCATGAATGTCATCTCTTACTCACATGCGTACTGCATGTTTGCGAAGGCCACCCTGGAGCAACGCACAGGTCTCGTATGTGTTAGCCCCAATGAGGAGGAAGAGCGTGATAACGCTCGAAACAAGTACTCGGAAAGGGGTTGGAAATTGATCAACTACGACGGAAAGGAGTGGGGGCGTTCCCCGACCCCTCCACCTCGAGGCGTTTCAGAGGTTTCGGAGTCGGATCGGTTCGTTGACGGGCCAACATCCACTCTTTCGGACGGCCAGAGGGTCACTTTCCGAATCGATAGGCTACGCCACTTGGGCGACTCCTACTGCTTCACGATACGTCTCAAGGAGATTCCAGGCTATTATTCGGCAACATCCATCTCCGATCCAACCGTTCCGGTCTTTAAGAACCCGCCTGTCCATGTCCGCGAAGAGTTGGATCCACGCTCTGGATATCGTAGCCTTGAAATCAACTCATGGACCCTTTCCGACGCCGAAGTCTACGACCCGGCACCAACAACGAAGGACGACGACGACGATAGCGATTACGACAAAGACGAAGACGATGAGTATGAGGAGGCCAAGTATCTTCCATCCAGGGGATTCCCATTGGCGGGTCTCAGCGGAATGATTGGGAGAGTCGACAAAGACGGAGGGGACTATCGAATGGTTTACAACCTACAGTCCCATCAATTTGGTCATCTCCGGCACAAGGTATGCGAGAGGTTGAGGTTTGGCTACTGCATCGGGTTGGAACTGCTTGAACGGGAGGCGAACGAGTCCCGACCCGACACTCTTCTGCACGGTGTCCGCGCAGCACTCTCTAGTGACTCCATCAATCGCGAGCTGAAGAAGTTGGACATATACCCGCTGTACGCGAGGATGAAACGCTCCGTGGCTAAAGAGAACGAACTACTCGGTGGAATGAGAGGCTGTGGCTTCAGGCCCAACGGGCTGATGGTCACGAGGGCTGATGGAATGAGAGATGCTATTTTGATGTATGAAAAGCATTTCGACAGCCAGAGGTATGTGTCGTGTTTATTTACTCTCGATACGGTACTCACGCGTATCGACAGATACGATAAAAAGCTGTCGGACACAGTGAAAGGCTACTTCGCTCGGATGTGAACTCAGACCGATTATCTCAGTGACACATATGCGTATCGTACATATAATATGATGTTCAATAATTCTTCAAAAAAGGTCTAACCAGGAATCGAACCTGGGTTAATGGAAATCAGACTGGGAGTCAGAATCCATTGTGATAACCGCTACACTATTAGACCGTACAACACATATTAGATCTAGACTACAGATATAGCTACCGTGAGATCGTGCTTGCCATAATCAGACTCTATGGTCGCACATGATTCAGGGATGCCTCCCTCCTTCCGTTCACAACAATCTCAGTCAACTCTCGCACACCAGGCCCAGTCGTCCAACTCGCTCTCTCATCGTCTACTTTTCCCCAATGGCATCAAGCGCGAAGCAAAATCCACCCCTTCAGATTCTCTTCCTCCACTATTTGCAACCCCTGTACCAGCTGAATTGACAGAGGAATTATACGACTTCATCGCCCTCGCCCTTCGCGCCTTTGTACTCCCCTGGTGGTCGAAGATAACAAGATACGACAAGGAATTTCTCCCGCAGATAAACCATATTCTTACCCACGTATTCTGCTCCCTTGAATCGCGAATACTCTCCCAGTCCTTCAACAACGAGCTTCCCGGTCTAATCTTCGAGGATATCCCTACAATAGTGGCACAACACTACGAAGATTTTCGCAATGCTCAATGTAAAATTGATTCAGCATATGCTTCAGGAGGCAGCCTTTCTTTGTCCAAGTTGTTCCATCAGCTCCAACCGCATATGGGCGTCGATTCGGAGGGAAAGGTCAATCATGAATATATTAGGCAGGTTATAGACCATATTCTGAGAGTCAGTTTACCGGAAGAGGACTATGAGCCTGAAGCAGAGAGGTGCGTACGATATCCTTCTCTCCCGGATTGACGTTGGTAACTCATACAGGACTCCGTATTATATCCAGGTTTATTGTCAGGGAAATTGTGGTCAAGATAGTGGCGGAGGATGTCCTTCCCAAGGTGACACAACCCTGGTTCGTCTACAAGATAATACTGGACTTGATTGACGACAAAGTGCGTGCCTTTCCTCTGTCACTTCATAACCTACGTACTCAATCGTCCACACGTCAGGGTTCAAATAATCCCCCTTCTTCCACCCAAGTTGCGCAGACACGTAGCGAGACTACTGGGAGCAATGACAGCGACGCTTCGAAATCCTCTTCCTCCTCCTCTGGACCCCTTTCGTCTCTCCTAATCCTCCTCCTTTCCACTATACAAACCATCTCCGGTGCTTGCCTAGCACTAGTGCATGCTTACAAGCAGGTGGTATTGACTGTGAAACAGGTCAATGCAGCTTCATCCACCCATTCGACAAGGCTGGGGAAGATTGAAGAAAGTCAACCCGCACGGGAAAGAGACCAGAAGAGAACTAGTTTGATTGGTGCACCTCTCGAACGGACGCGCTCTGGTAGCACCCATAGGAGCTCGGTATCGATGCACAGAACCCCTACATTGCCCGGAGACGCCAATTCGGTTTCTCGAGTTTCGTCGACGTCGTCTTCCTTGCCATCCACGTCTTCTGCATTTCCGCGTCCCCCTTCTCACCCAAATCAAGAGGGCGGTAAAGATGACGCGGTGCACAAATCAAGAACGCGAGGATATGCTTACCCATCTCTGGCCCTTGTATCTGAAATATTCATGCTCAACGAGCGGCATGCGAGCCGGACTATTATGGGGACCACGGAGATGCTGCTGGGAGCGTTAAACACCGAAGGGTTCGTCGACCGGTAAGTCTAGTCATAGCCCGCAATTGAACTAGCAAACTGAAGCATCTTTTCCGTGGCTAGCTTACTGCCCCACATCCTTAATCAACATGTCCTAACTTCGAACACGCTCCTGACTATCATTCGTAGTGCTAAGAAGACCCTCTTTCCGAATGGTTACCCCCAGCCAGCACCTCCGGATCCTAGCCCAGAAGAAACCGAGGAGATGCGTCGTCGTATCGTCACGGTCTTCAATCGAAGCAATGGCACAGATGGCAAGGCACCCGGCAGAGCCACTTTGAACGCCATACACCTTCTTTTGGGCAACGATCCTGAGAGGACTTTGGACCGTGCCCTGGCTCCGCTAGGGTACCAAGAATGTAACGTGCATATGGTGATGGTTCTTGTGGATAGATTTGTGTGTGGGATCTGGCCGGAGCTTGCGGACGGGTAGGTACTGTATTGTTGGTTGTAGCTTGAAGAGGTTAGCGGGCAGACGGTTTGTTGGACGGTCTTATACCTTGACGATTAATGTACGTGTTTTATGACTAGTGATGATAACTTTGAACTACAGGACGGGCTGTAACCATATTCATTGGAGGTCGATGT